ATATCTAAATAATAATGAATCCAAACTCATTCAAACTCTACAAATCAATTTGCTCTACAGTGACAGCAGCTGGTTTGACATTCACAAACTTTACAAATAAAACATTGATTGGGAGATCAGTTTAATATATTGAGTATATGAATATTTATATTATTGAGCCATTTGATTTATACAAAGGCACCAAGATTATCATACATAGAACATTATGCCCCAGTATATACACCAAAAAGAGTCACATATGCTGCTCCAATCTGTTTAGCTTTAGCTGGTACAGTGTTATTAGCTGAGGTATAAAAATAATAAATAACAATTGATAGATAGCCTGGACAAACAATGCCAAAGAATAAGCAAATAATTATTTTATTGCAACAAGAGAATGAAATATATTATTTAGAAATAATAAAATAAAATATAAAATAATGAAATTTAAGCTTCTTTTAGTGATTTTAGTACTATGTAGTACATAGGATATGCCAGACCTGGAATTTCCAAAAAAGACGCCAGTAATAATGCTAAATGATAACAATTGGGATGCAATAACACATTTAGGTAATGAGGGATTAGAAAAACCATGGTTTATTTTCTTTTGGGCTCCATGGTGTAAAGGATGTCATAGAATAGTTAAAATTTGGGAGGAAATGGTAACTACTTATAATGGTACAATAAATATTGGAGCTATTGACACGTAAGAATATATATATAATAAAGATATAATTAAGAACTTATTGGTGATAGGATCGGTATAACTAAATATCCAACCTTTGTATTTTTTGATACTGATAATAAGATGTATTTTTATAATGGTAAATCTCTATTCAATCATTAGAATCTACAAACATTGGTAATTTTACTTAATTTGTTGATGAAAAGAAATATCTTCATCTAGAACCTTATGACACTCCAAAAGAAATTGATCACTTTAAAAAATGGTTAAGAAGAATATTCTCATTAAAAATGGTAATCTAATTGTAATATTTAATAGGTTCCTGTTTATGTGGTTGTTGCTTTTATTGTAGTTTTAACATCGTTATGCATTTATGGCAATAAATAAGAAAAGAAAGATAAATCAGATGCTAAAAGGGTTAAATTAGAATTATTTAGAAAATCATTAGAGCAATAAGAAAGGGACGAGTATCTTAAATTAAAAGGAGATTGATTTGTTAATAGATAAATAAGTTTAAATTTAAACTTTTCTTTTTCAATCATTTTTTTCTTCTTTAATTCTCATTTATTAACTTCAAAATTTATGAATTAATATTTAATAAATTGTTTAATTATATATGCACTAAAATAATTCAATGGAATTTGAAAATGAAGATAATTTATTGTCAGGCCTTTCTAAATAAACACCATCAAAAGATGGTACAGATATGCAACAAATTACTTCATTTCAAGTTTCACCTTCTTTTTAATAATCTCAATAAAAACAATAAGAAGTAAATTATTTCAAAGCTGAATTAACAACAAATCATTATTATGCAGATTAACAATAAAAAAATAATGAACTTAGTTTTAGTTTAAACAATTAAAGTATCAAACAAGATAATTGTTATTTTCAGCAAATATTTGACAATTTAGCTAAACTTGAAATGGATCTTAATAATTAGTCTCTTCATGAATCTTATAGTGAAATTAAATCAAGTCTCTTAGATTTTTAAGGAAAATATATTTAACAACTCAACTTTAACATATCTGATTAGGTACCTGAATATTAGAATCAATATTTACTCTAAGGTAGTGAAAGTAAGCATTAAAGAACTAGATCAGAAGCTACTTATTTAATAAGACCTTCAATTCCCAAAACAAGAAAATCCGAACAATAAAATATTAATGAAAAAGCTATTGATCCCATTATTTTTCAAAAATAATGTGAGGAATACTCATTATTATTGGATATTATCAAAAATGATATTGAAAATTTTTTAAATACTGATATTAAGGATTATGATTAAAGTATGGAATTGATTAATCATTATTATCACTTAAAATTTAACTTATAAAACCAAATATTAGAAAAGGATAAAATTATTTAAAATCTCTAAGACAATCAAGCCTAAATTAATTTTACTAATTGTGAATATTAAGAGCATTTTGATAATTTAGAAAAAAATATTAAATTTATCATAACAGATATAAAAAAATAATCAAATGAAGAATTGATATCCTTAGTTAGTCTAAAAATGTAAGAATTAAATGATTAAAACTTATAATTAGAAAAAAAGTTAAATGATTCCTAATTAGAATATTAGGAATATTCAAAACTAACAAAATAATAACTTAATGAATATGAAAATACTTTACAATCTTTTTAGCATTTAGATAAATAAATTTTATTGCTTACCTAAGAAAAAAAAAGTTAAGAAGAGACTATTTAATCATTAAATCATTAAATAACCCTTTTAAATAAAAATTCTGAAAATGACTAAGTCATTGTTCTGCGCTAAAATTTCGAATAATTAATGAAATAAATTAGAGACTTTACGATTTTATCAACTAAATTGCTTTAGCATATCTATAATTAAACAGGCGCAAATTTTAATTTACAAGATAGCTCAAATTTTAATGAATTATAATAAACTCTATAAGCTTATTTTTAAAATTGGGATGAAGGAAACTTCAAAAAGATGTCAAAAACATTAATAGACTATTAATCAGAAATTGAAGTTTAAAAAAAATATATTTGTATATAATACTCTGCTTTAGTTTAATAGATTAAATTGCAAAGATAGAAGTTAATGGAATCACTGTAAATTTGATTATGATACATAAATATATATATATATATTTAAAATACTCTCATGAATCAACTTCGTCATTGTTTTTCTATCTTCTTTATGGATTGTTATCGTAATTTCTGTTATTATTTCTATTATCATAATTTTTCTATCCTCCTCTCTATGGTTTTTATGGTTTTCTAAATACAATAAAAATAGACAATACTTGCTTCTAACTGTAATGTAATCATCTTCTTCTTATTATTATTCTTCTTAATTTTAAGTAGTCTATTTGTCAACTTTTTCTTCCCAGAGTTAATCTTATTAATAATTTCTGTCTCTGTTATGATAATGTTATTTGTTTCCTCTGTATGGTCTATCATAATTGTTTCTTCTATCATAATTGTTATTATTATAATGTTTTCTATAATTTTTTCTATCATCATGATGTTAATTATGTCTTTAACCTTCTCTTGTTTAAGGCTCTTAATCTTAATTAGGTTATTAGATTTAATTTGAAGTGTCTTCTTATGGTTATTCATTAATTGGTTGTTATTCAGTAAATTATTATTGTTCTTAAGTTTCTTAGACTTCCTATTATTCTACTTATTTGAATTAAACTTAAACATCTTCTGATGGTGGTTATTATGTTTAGACTTATTATTATTATTCTAATAATTAAATCACTTATTGAACTTATTATTGTTCTGTTTCTGTTTAATTTTCTACTTAAGTTTATTAAGGTTATTAATTTTATTCTTATGTTTGATTTTCAAACTAAATTTAGTTAAATTTAAATACTTTCAATCCTTTCCATGGTTGATCTTTTTTGAATTATTGGCCAACTATTTTAGATTACAATTTTTTAGCTAATTCATGAGTAGATTCATGATCTTAAGCTAAAAGTGTAAGTAATTATGGATCTTAGGCAAGAGATTGAAGAATTATAATATATGCTTCAATTGTAATTATAGATCCTTATTGTTCTGCTTCTTTCTTAGCATTGAGCCAATTTGTAAGTTGACCTTCTAATTCTTTGATTTTTTCATTGTTTTCCTCTTTATTTTGTATCTTTTAAATCTATTCTTGCTTCAATTCTTTTGTTTTTTGTAATTCTTCAAGCTCTGCAATGTCTTTGAGTTTCTTTTAGAGATTTCTATATTTTTTAGCTAAAAAGTTAAAATAGAAGTCTTTTTCTTCATTTTTAACTGTATCCCATATTGATTTGTTCTTTTATTATTTACCTCCTTTCATATTGTATTTTTTTGAAAAATATTTAAAAATTAGGAATAAATACTAATGAGGATATAAATAATACTATAGATTCTTAGAGTCTTCTACTTTGAGGGATTGATTGCAGCATATTTCAATTAAACATAATAATATATAATGATGATCTCAATTCAAATATTAAGGCAATTGGAATGATTTGAACAAATCATTAGCAAGCATAATTAATTATTGGTTTTCGGATTAGTTTGAATATTGTTTGAGCATATCCAATAAACTAATGAGAAGAGGACTGGTGAGTAATTTTTAAGACATATTCTCTTATCCTTAAACTTACTTATAATAAGACACACAATCGAGGAGACATGTCACACTTAGACGAATGTATTCCTATAATAAATAATACTAATTAAATACCACTGTAGGTGTTAATGATTTATCAGATGTAGCTTATATAAACATACAAAAATCAGGAATTGTTTAATAGAGTGGTATATAAGGTATTTTATTAAGGTTATATGCATGTAACATGCATAAATAACAATTTAATAAGGCATCATTAAGATTTTCATAATATTCTAATTGTGCCATATCCTTATTTTAAGTAAAATATATTGAAGCAGTGAATCCACTTTTAACTAATTACCAAATAGCTTAAAAGTAAGGTTCAGCTTCATGCTCTGCTATTAAAACAATATCAGCAATACAAATAAACAAGGCAATCTTAGCTACTCTATTTACTTATGAATCCTTTATATTTAATAAAATTAATTACATTAACACAAGCTATCAAATATTCTAAAATTTTCAAGTATTTGCTGAATTCTTTAAATTAAAGTGATCTTGCAATGTCAGCCAAACATAAAATAGCTCCTTTGAAAGTTTCGATTTCAAGTTTCTTTTATAAACCAATTTCTAAGTAATTTTGCATAAAATCATCCAGAAGAGATTTAAAATTAATTTTACTATCTATTAAAAATGGAATAAATATAATACATTAAGCAATTGCACTGATTGCATAAAAACCATCTTAAGTTACAGTTTATATTTTTTTAAAATAATCAACAATAAGTGAATAAAAGTTATTCATTAATTAAATATCACATTAATCTCCTAAAACAACTAATCTTAAGAAGCAAATATGAATTGCTGATAATAATCCTGATATATTGGCTTCTTTTTACCATCCAATTTATGAATAAACTGCTACCATTTATTAACCAAAAGCAGATAAATATTTTTTAATTGTTTATGGTTCTTTTATGCATTATAAACAATTAATGATACCAACCCAAGCTATATCAAGTAAGGATCCATCTTAAAAATCTTATCTTCCAATAACTGTAGCAAATTAAGTAATTAAAAAATCATAATATTTACAAAATTAATTATTGGTATCATCTCTGAATGCTTCTGTTAAATTAACTAATGTCCATAATAAATATTTAGTTAATTTATTATTTCCTTACAAAAATTGTGAAAATTAATTAATGTAATCATCTGCAAATTAATGTTTAAGAATAACTAAAGGATAATTCTCAGCAATTCTAGTAATAACTCTTCCAGCAGCATATTTCACTTATTTATGAGAATCAGCTAATTTTTTAATGAATTCACCAATAGCTGAATTAGAGAATTAAAATAATTCTAAAACATCAGCTGTTTCAACCATTGATGAAAATGCTAATAATGATGCTTTTCTATTTTACCATTCTTATGATTAAAGTGTGTCTAAAATAATTGAATAAATAAATACTTTCAACAAATCTTAAATAAAGTTAATAACATATATTTCCCAATGCTTCACTAATAGAAGATGCTGCCTTATAAGCTGCTTCTTATATTCCTTATTCTTCATCATCTTCTTCGTCTTCATCTGAAATGAGTAGATTTTATAAAACAGCTTAAATTAATTATTAAGCAACTAATTATAAAGCTTCTTTCTGAGTTTTTCTAAATCCTAAATTTGTTCTATTACTAACAGTTTATCTCTCATTTATTTCAGATGCTATACTCTACCATATTTCCATTGTAACAATTGCAAAATCTTTATGAAAGATACTTTCTTATGTACAACTCCATAATACAGTAATATATTATTCTAATTTACATTTGAAGTATTACCTAAATAATCAAAAATTGATTTAGTATAATCAATCAAACATTCTAATGCTGCTAATCTAATTTCAGAATCTTAAGAGATTGCTGATTCTACCAATAATTTAGTCACATGATCTCTAACTTATTATTGTATCAAAACTTGATCCATAAATTATAAACTATCTTTCAATGCTCTTATTGATATTAACCTTATTTATTTCTCTCCTTATAAGCCCATACATATTCCATATAACACTTTTTCACTTTCAGTTTTATCTATTGATTATTTCTGATTTTTTAAAGCTTCACAAATATAACCAAGAGTTATAGTTGCCGCTTTTTTTATTTCTATCGATTCATGTCTAGTATTCTATACTAATATGCTAATGATTTCAGGCCATTCTTATCTTGGTAATTCTATTGCACATATTCCTGATAAACACTATTAAATTATTATACAACATTTACGCTTGCTGCTGATTTTTTTATATTTTGATCACTAGATATTAGTTAAGATAATAACTCATCTTTTATCTTTCTCTTTACATCTAATCCTATTGTTAACCATCCTTATTCATAACTTATACATCTCTGTAATAATGTCCCTGCTGCTACTCTTGTTTAAGAATCCAATTATGTTGATATGAATACAGAACTGCAATTTTAAAAAAACTCATTTGGTAATTGATGCTTCAGATTTACAAGCTACTATTCTGCTTAACTACGCTAATTGTTTTCTTTTCCAAAAAATGCTGCCTAAATTAATTCGACAAATTCTTGCATTATTTTAAACACTTTAAATACTTCAATTTATTTTTTTAAATTTCATTACTTATATATTAAACTCTTTATAGTATTTTCAATAATACGATTAATTATCCTATATACTAATTCTATTATCAATCATTTACAAATACACACACTTATATCTTATGCATTCAATCTCTATCTCTTCTAATTTTCAAATCTTATTTCTTTTACAAATAATATTTGCATTATTCTTTTATTCTAAATTAAAATCTTCTCTCAAAAAACCCAATTTAAGTTAAATACTTTAATACTCTCTCTATAATCTTGTTAATACTAAGATAATAAGGAATAACTATTAAAAATTATTGGCAAAATATTTTGATATTATCATAAATTAAATTTATCAAATTAAATTTTGAAGAATTTAATTGAATCACTTTCGATTGAAATCACCTATAATATTTTATCACAATTATTCTTAAACTGGGCTTTTTATCAATTTATTTTTATTTTCTAAATAAAATTAATAATTTCAATAAAGATATCTTAAGGATTTACCAATTTTGATTATTTTACCTTATTTCTAAGAATAATAATTATTATTTTAGAATATCAAACATCTTACAAATTTTTATTTTGACATTCATATATACTCAATTTTTAGTAGGAATGATCAACTATTATAATTATTGAAAAAGTTGCATTATGGAACCAAAAATAAAAATATGTAAATTAAAATTTTTATTCATAGTTTTAGATTGACATTTTCTAATTTTTAACTTAATTTGCATCAATTATGAGCTCAAAAACTGATATATGCTAAACTTTGAAATAAAACTTCTAAAAGTATCGCAAAAAATGATGATAACATAACTTATAAAAGTCTACCAATTAAGTAAAGCATTTTATAAATTGGAAATCCTACATTTTATTTCAACAAATTGTTTATTGATCAATAATTAAATTACATATTTATAGAATTTGTTCAAATTTAACAAAAATTAAGAAGGAATAAATTTTTAATTTAATCACGTTTTTAATAAGAACGATGTATTTTAAGAAGAATTTTCAGGTAACTTTAATTTTATAATTATGAGAATATAATTTTTAATTGTAAAAAAACTTTATGTTTTTGTTTATATTTATAAAAAGCTAAAACTATTTATCAAAATATTTGGTAGCATAATAAAACTTATTTTTAGAAAGCTAAATTTTCATAATATTTTTTATGAGAGAAGCTGAATTATTCTATAATTCTTGAAAAATTGGTAAAGTTTTTAAAAATTTTATTTTCATCTATTAGCCTTGATAATACTTATTCTTTTCCTCGAGCTTAAATCCCTTATAATTTGGCAGATTTTTAAACAAAATCTTATTAAACTTGAAATAACAGCGAGGTTTATCAATAATATATAAATTAGTTATTATAATAAATTTTCGGTTTTTTAATATAAATAAAAATTCAGTACAATTTTATTTGTTTATAGAAACTTGTTATCCTTACAAAAAAGAGTTAAAATAACTACAAATGTTTATTTATTATATTAAAGAAGCTTTTAAACTATATAGCAATGAAAGTTCAATGATATTATTGAGAAAAATAATCTAAATTTGATTCGATAATTTTAAGATGACTATTATTATTGTTACAATAAGATAAATTTAACTTTTAATATTCTATTAATCACCTATTAACTTTTAAGATAGTAGTTGTTACAAAATTATGCAATTTGAGAGTATAAATTTATAATTGAAGTATAAATAAATGAATATCTAATCTTATCAATTTTTAAATATGAGTTTTTTTACATCGTGATTAATGTAAAGTTACTTGTGATTTAATAGATAATTTAGATATTTTCTGACATCATAACATTAATATAATATATATTTATGGAACTCGAATAATAGTAATAACCAGTTAATTTAAAAGAGCTTAATTTTTCTCGAATATCTTAGTCAAGCATTAATATAGAACTTTAAGAGGATTATTATGGAGGCTATTCAGGAAGATCATTAGAATTAAACATAAGAGTACAGCAAGAAGATAATGAATTTAAAAAAAAAAATCTCCAAATTGAGTTATCAATAGTCGATTATTTGAGTTCTTTGAATATCAAAATGAAAACAGATCCTAAAGCAAAACAAGATAGATTCTTTTCCAACTTAAGAAATCTATGTAAACGTAGAGCATTTACATAATTGGAAATTGAAAGAGATTCTTCTGATAATACACCAGACACTATAGTTAAAGGTTCATAGGTTTCAATTTCAACAAATCCTTTGTTGGAAAAACGAAAAACTTAACTTAGTTTTGTGAGCACTAATTAAAGTATTTAGAGTTAATAAGTGATTTCAATATTATAATAAGAAGGGAAAATTATTTAAAAGCAATCATAGTTTGAGTCTGAAGAAATGGATGCCATCATTTCTAATTAATCACTTTATTAAATTAAATGATATTTATTTTCATTTATGCTAAAACCTCATCTTTTGAACTCAAAACATCTAAAATTTATATTATTATTTAATTTTTTTTTTTAGACTAAAATCCAATAATAAATTTCATTTATAGAAAACATATATTTGATTTTAAAAGGTAATTACTTAAGTTAAAATAGTTGAGTAATTTCCAAACTTTATTCAATAAATTTATAAATGAATTTAATAACAATATTAAGTAATTAGAAATAACTAAAACAATAAATAAAAGAATAAAATAAATCTAAAAAATTAAAAATACCAAACAAAATGTAATAACTTAATTGATATAAATTTATTAAACACAGATTTATAAAATTACTAAATTTCATTGAAAATTAAGGAGCTAATTTTTTGGAAATCCTCCAAATAATTTACAATCAAAATAAACTGTTTATCTAACTACCTAAATATAAACAGATTACGTAGAGAATTAAGAAATTTAGATTTATGAAAATGAGTTTAATAAAATAAAACATTCTAATGAGAAATTATTCAGACTAAAGAAATTAAAAGAAAAGTATTATGATTGTTCTAAAATAAATGAATATGAAGCGATGTAATAAATTGATGCATAAAAATTTGAAATAGAGAGATTATTGCTTAAATTAGATTAAATACCATTAAATAATTATGAAGCAGACTCGAATGAATAATCATAGTTGTTATAATCTTTACAAAATAACTATTAAGGATTATAAAATGAATAGGAAATGCTTTAATAAAAGAATAAAATTTTGTAATAAAAAATAAAGGAAAAGTTAGATCAAAATCAATGACTTTTTAGTTTATATAATAACAACAAAATATTTGTTATTAATAAAATAATTATTATTGCCATTAGGATTTTTTTATTGTGCATTTCTTGATCTTATAGTATTTGATTGTTTATAATAAAATTCTCCTCTTGCTATTTTATTTCTATATAAAATATCTAAATACCTTCTCTAAGTTATTGAATTATGACAATATTTTACTAGATTTACAAATTCTCTGCTAAATTTTGATTTTCCTCTAGTGTCTATTGAAAGTCATTCATAATTGTTCTTATAATTTTATAATTAAATTGAAATAATTAGACACATAAATCAATATAATTCTAAAAGTAAGGTGGATGATGCTTTTTTATTGATAGAGTAATAATTATAAAATAAGGATTAAATATATAAATAATAAAATAATGAGATAAAATAAATTTGTGATTCTTGAAAAATGCTACAAAAAAAATGAAATAAAAATTTTTAAAAATAGAATTTTTAATAATGAAATCATCTTCTTTTTCCTTTACCTGTTCCTGGCATTCCTCCCATACCTCCCATTTATTTCATTAAATCTTAGATTCCATCCATTTATCCCATTTATTTCATCATATTCATAACATTTTCCATTCCTCCTAATTTTTAAAGCATGCTAGGATCAATAGCTCCTTTCATTTTTTACATCATTTATTATGGATTTCTTTTAAGTTAATCAAATTCATTTCCTCCTAAATACATTAATAATATAAAATACTTTTCCCTCCTAAATTAGTCTTAGCTAAATTGCCGACAACTTTGGATAATTTTTTATGTTCATCTAATAAAATATGAACTTCTTCTATAGATGTACCAGATCCTTTAGCAATTCTAACAATTCTACAGAAATTTAAATTTCCTATTAAATTATAATAGATATATATACCTTCACCATCTAATTCTTCAGATGTCATAGAATTCATGATACATAAAAATCTTTGAATTCTTTTAATAGATTCTTTTTCATTTCCTTTAGATAAAACAGAACTGCCCATTCCTGGAATAGCAGACATAAATTAATTTAAAGATCCTAATTTGAGAACAGAGTTAAATTATGTTTATAAATCTCTGATAGAGAATTTACCTTCTTTTAATTTTTAAATTAATTATGGTTAATCTCTCATATTAACAACATCTTTAACAGATTAAAATAATTTATTAATATCTCCTAAACCTAATAATCTTCTAACAAAAGAAGATGCTTCAAAAGATTCTAAATCATCAAAATGTTCTCCTTCTCCTATAAATACAATAGGAGATTCAGTCGCTGCTACAGCTGATAATGCTCCACCACCTTTAGCGTGACCATCTAATTTTGTAATTATTACAGATCCTACATTTACAGCTTTCTTAAATGCCAATGCTTAATCAAAACAAGCTTATCCTATTGAAGAATCCATAACAAAAACTATATCATCTGGTTTAACTGCTGCTTCTACTTATTTCATTTCTTCAAACAAATCATTTTCCTATTTATGTCTTCCTGATGTATCCACTATAATTATTTCAAAGGCTTCTTTCTTAAAAACATTCACACCCTCTTACGCAATCTATACAGGATCAGCTTCTGTATATGATCTAAATTTAATATCAAATGATACCCATAAAATGGTACTCTCACTTTCGTAGCATTTTATTTTAATTAATCAAAAGCACCTGCTCTAAATGTATCTGCACATACTAATGCTACTTTCCATCCTTTCTTTTAGTAATAATATGCATATTTAGTACATGTTGTTGTCTTACCAGATCCTTATAAACCAACAAACATTATAACATTTTATTTTCCTATTAATAATTTATATTTATTTTTACCCTTTTTTGGTTAAAATGGTTTTCTATCACTCTCTAACATTCTTGTTAATCCATCTACTACTGATTTCTATATCAATTTTTAATGATTAACATTCTCCTCTTAACATAATTTAAATTCCATCTTAACATCTTCTCTTAATTTTTTTATAAATTTCGCATTAACATCTGCTTTTAATAAAGCCATTGCTATTTCACCTAAAATTTAATCCACTAATGCTTCATCTACAACTGGAGCCTTATTTAGTTTTTAAAGTGCTGCATTTATTGATTTTCCAAGTTCTGCAAGTACCATAAATATTATAATATAATTATTAATAATATAATCATCTAAACACGTAATTTAAAATTATCTGAACACGTAATTTAATAATAATAGTTTAAAAATAACATCATTACTTAAATAACAATTATAATTTAATTAAGTCTTGCTCATTTAAACATAATCCATTAACTAATACAGAATTTCCTTATAATTTGAATGGTAAATGCTACATATTTAAATGTTTTAATGCTAAACTATCTTAAACTATTCCTCTCATCTATGGTTCATAAATCATTCTAAATTTCAAAGCATTCTAACTACAATCATCCTATTATCACATTTCATCATTACCAAAATCACATTTTTCACTTCAAGTCTCTTTTCAAATTTTTAGTAACTATTCATATTCTCATTCTCTTCAGAACTAAAGATCTTTTATAATTTAAATCTTTTTTACATTAAATTGGCTATCTATTCTATATAATCTATAACCATAATTTATTGGATCTTCATTTTTTATTGGATCATATACTTTACTTTATTCATTCAATTATAAAAAAACAATCAAATGAATCTCAGGTTTTTTATTTCTATTACTTTATATAGCTTCCAATATTGAGCCATGCAAACTGCTTTCTTTTTATGTTATAAATGATTATTCTTATCCACTTATCCCAGATATTGATTTCAATTGATTTTAATTAAAACTTAATTGATAACTATTCCATTCACAAAATGGCTTTTTTACAATTTAAATTGGATCATCAGAAGAATCAAAAGTCTCTTAAGGATTCTGAACAGGATATTAGACATTTTTCGGACTCTATATAGGAACACATATTTCTGATCCCAATGTTGAAACTATCGGTATTTAAGACTATGATCTTCCATGTTCAAACTTTTAAGTTTTTTTTATTGTATCTATTGAGTCACTTCTTTATTTTTAAACTACAAAATTTTCATCAATAAAATCTTTTAGTTTATTTATCTCTATTTATAAATCTTATAATAGTTATTCTGAATTATTTTGTGCCTTTTTTTATATTTTATTTTCAAGCTAAAGTAAAATTATTTTCAAATTTTATAATTATAACAGAAATTCTTTTTTGTCTATTTATGAATCTTCTGTTTTTGTTTTTTTAAAAGTATATTTATGTTCTTTCAACTATTTTAATAATTCTATTATTTTATCTTTATTTTATATAATTTGTTTTTAGATTTCATCCATTCTTATGTAAGCATTTTCAATCTTTAAAGTCTAGTCAAATTATTATCCCAAACAAATTTTCTTAAATTCTTATCTAACATCCATAATCATATGATCGTGATATTATTTTCCATACTTAAATTTTATATCTCTCATTAAAATTTCTTTATCTTTTAAATACATTGTTAAGAGATTTTGTACTTCATTTTCTATATTTCTATCAATCATAATTTATGAATTTTGTAGTTAAGATTAAATTTCTTTCAATTATTTCTTCATTTTATCTATTTCAATCATTGATTAACTTTTATTATAAGAAAATGTTTTAGCCTATGTTGTAACTTATATTAATTCCTTTTATAATTCCTCAAAGTATTTTTGAGAATAATTTAATTTAGTTAAATTTTAAATAATGTAACAAAAGTTTTAATGAAGAATATTTAAACATTTAACTGTTTAAACTAATAATCCTTGTTTAGATATTAATAAATCTTTTGGTTAATGGATTATATTTAACAATATCTGATCAAAAGACAAAACTAGATTCATTAAATTTGGTTATAGCTATACTTCTATTAAATATTATTTTTTTTCTTCCAAAACACATTAATGTTTTCCAACATGTATTAAATTTTCTGATTCTTTCAATAATAGCTGCTAAAGTCTAATTAAACTTTCAAAAGGAATAGCCATCTTAATCATATCAACATCAAATAACTATCTTAATTTTAGCCATTACTATTAACCTACTTAATCTAACAATTTGTGTACAGAATCATTTAACTACTATTTCTCTTTAAGTTTTAATAAGATAGAAGCATAATTTTATTGTTTTTCTTATATTGCTTAAGCTTTGGTCTCAAGTTCTCTATAATCATTATCAGTTATATGAAGTGTCTAAGAAAATAAAAAAAGGTTACTTGTTTTGCTTGATTTATTTTTTATTAAAGAGCTTATATAGTTTTTTTCATTTAAGCTTATTAAAGTATAAAATCATTGGGTTGAGCACATAATGCATTTGATATTTCTTCAGATTCAATTGCCAAATAATACTACTATAAATTAGTTGATTCTTCATCAGCTTTAAGCATATTTAATTAATTTTGATAATTTAAGTTATGATCTTCAGTCTTTTACTATGGTAATTGTTTTGGGTTTCTTTTTTTAATTGTTTCAATCAATTCATCTATTTGTAAGTACATTGATTAAATTATAGTTGAAGTTGCATCAAATTAGGAAGTGTTAGTTTCTAAGTTCATTACTTTTTATTAAAATTTAGCTGTCGAAATCGCATTTTTTGGTGATTGAAGCATTATATATTACAGTTTAAATTCCTAAATAATTCTGTTAAATTTAAATATAAAATGAGAAATTCATTGAAAGTTTTTTACTTCATAATAGAAATAATAATGATTGTGTTAAATTAAAGAAAGAAGAGTTTATAGCCTAAAGTAATATAATAAAGGGACATCAAAAGGTGATAGGTTAAATATAATTATATTATATAAATTAAGATTTTAAATGTAAAAAAGCAAGTGAATCTTGTTAATATTTACTATAATGCATTTCAGAAAAAATCATCTAAATTAAATTATTAAGGTTGATTGATAAGTTCATCTTCATCAATAATTATAAGTTAGACTAATTGTTTTTTAAGACGGTCTTCATCTTCATATTAAATTTATTCTTGTAAAGGTGTAGATATTGGTATTGATGTTGTATTTTCAACTTTGAGATTTTTTTTCTGAACCATTGGTGATAATGGATTAAACTTTTAATGATGAGATCTATAATAATATTATTTTTACCTACACTAACTAGGTGATCTAGTTCCAACTACATCACTCATAGATTTAAATATTTTATTGTTTTTCTTAATATCTGTATGGTCTTGTAGGAATCTCAAATATTTTTAATGTTCTTCAGGAGTCCAATGTCCAAAATTCTTTTTTGGAGAAAGTGATTCATTTTTCTTAATTTTCTTAGACTTAGGAGATTTTGGATATGAGAGCTCTTCTAAATCCTCTATTTCTTGTTAATCCCTTGAAGAATAAGACATTATTTTAATTAAGCAAATTAATAATTTATAATTAGTTATATTATATATTATAAATTATTAATTACTTAATTATGTGTTAAAGAATAAAATTAATAATAAAATAATTAATGAGATCAATTTCCCCAAATGCATATTAATCAAACAAAGATTCTTTTTCGTCTTAACCTCAATAATAGAAAGCTATATTAAAACCTATTGTTTATGAAGCTATTCATGTACCTGTAAATGAATAGATTGTACATGCAAATAACATTCGATTAAATATGTCACCTGCTCATATTGCACCACCATCTGGTTAAACTGTTTATCGTACTTTATAAACACCAAATACTTAAATACCTCCTTAAACTATTTAACAAATTTAAAATATCTAAACATTTCCATAATAAAAAGAATTAAAATTATAAACTTCTGTTGCAGAATTCCAAGTACCATAATCATAATCATAAGAAACATATTCTTCTGCTAAAAGTGAGGATAGATTATATAGAGAAGTTGAGGATAGAATTAGAGTTATTAGAAATGAAAGTGATTCATGGAAATAAAAGTTTATTATTAGTGAAAATGATAAAGTTAAATAAATGCAAGATATGGAAAATCATTATAAAATGGAAATGCATAATTAATCATAATAATTAAAACAATTTTATTAAGTATCTATGAATGAATTGAATGAAGAACTTAAACATTTACAAAGAGAATTAGATAATTCAAATAGAGAAACAGAAAAAACTAGAAAAAAATGTCATTAATTAGAAATGGATTAATTTGAATTAAAAACATAAATTGTTGATGCTAATGCTTAAAAAGATTAAGCATAAAAAGAATTGGTTAGAATGACTAATCTTTATCAAAGAATTAAAATTGATATGGATGAAATGAGAACTTAATAAGAAATAATGAAAAAAAGAATTGTCAATGAATAAGAATTAGAAAAACTTAAAGAAATTATCAATCTACGAGAAAATGAAATTGATGATTTAAAAATTAGAAATTCTTAATTAGAAATATTAAGTATAGATGTTAGAAAATTAGATACTTAGAATCATGAACTTTAAAATTAATTAGAAATACTCTAATCATAAATTTCCATTTATGAAACTAAAATCATTGAATCAAGAAATGAAATTGATAATTTAAATTCTATTAATAAAAGACTTAATAATCAATTGTAAGAAAAAAAAAATCATGATAAACTTTCCAAAACAATTTAAGAATAAGATATGCTCAATTAGTTAAATTAAGCTTAAACTCTTACATAAGAAAAAGATAATTAAATTAAATCTTTAAATATTCAAATTTCTTAATTACAATTAAAGTATGATTAATAATCATAACAAATAATATCTATTAGAGAGAATTATGAATAAGAGTTAACTGAAACAAGAATGAAACAAGGAAAATTTGAATAAGAATTTTAAGATGATATTACTTAAAAGTTTTAATTGATGTCAAGAGAAATACAGTAACTTTAGTAAGAAAGATAATAACTATTGAATGATTTGTCATAATAATCTTAACAAAAGGTATTATATTCATTAAAATAATTAAGATTCGATAAGATTAAAAACTATAATAGTAATAAAAGGAAATAGATAATTTTAATTATTAATCTTCTCTGAGAAACAAAGAACTAGTAGATAATAAAGAAACGATTAATTAATTGACAAAATAAGTAGCAGCTATTTCAAAAGAAAAATAAAATTTATAAGAATAAATACATGTAAATTTAATGTAACTATTTTAGAAATTACACTATTAATATTAAGATTTTAATAAAGTTAATTATTAATATGAAAAAGTACTTTGTAGTATTGAAATGGAAGCATTAAGAGAAAGATTAGATAATGCACTTTCTGAAATAGAGACAATAAAAGCTAATTAACTTTCTATGTATAAATTTTCTTGATCCGATAGTTCCGTATTTTATATATTAACTTAATAATTATTGACTTAATTTAATCCCTTAATCAATTTTTTTTAGAATGAATTTGATTATTTTTCTTTCTTTCATTAAAATCATTATTTTGTTTTATAACCAATTCCCCATTTTATGAAAATTACTCTTAAAAATTGAATAATAAATTACATGGCTTTAAATCAATAAGCTTAAAAGGATCATAATTTTGCGTGATCAATCTATTCATTCTCAAATTATCTCTAATTTTTCTGATTCTAATCTCATAATAATTGACTATCTCAATTTAAATTAATTTCTTACCTGTATTCCACATTATTTTAGTATGGACATACTTTAAACCAGCAATATTAACACCGTTTCTTATTTTTTTAGATTTTCTACTTTAAAAGTACCATATAGTGTTACTCTATGTGAATTATAAATTTGTTTCAGGTAGTTTCATATATCTAGCCAATTATTGATTACAATTAAGCCTTCTAATTAAATTTTAGTCTACCCACTTACTTTAATTCCTAGTTGAATTAAATTTTATTTTACTAATGATTGCTTCGAAATTTGGGAATGAATGGCGAAAAATTAGCAAAAAATTAATAAAAATCATTAATATTATTTAATGAAGATTAACAATGATTATAAAAATTTGAATAAATAATTTCTTAATTGAAAAAGAATTTGTCATTATCGGCTATGAATTTATGAATAATTTACATATAAGGTTATTAGATTTAAATTTTGCAAATCTCAAAAAACATATATATATCAAAAATAATGTGAATCAAAAGTAATTGAATTATTATTTGTATTATTATTATTATTATTATTATTGTTATGATTATTATGAATATATTTATTATGATTGTTTTTATTAAAATATTAATTAGATGATTAGAATAATCTAAAAAAGTAATAATATAAATAATAAATTACTTTTAATATGATAATTTAGGTTCAATAGATATTTTAGTAGGAATGTATTTATTTAAAATAGAAGTTTTTCTTTATGCATTTAATATTTTTTTTCTAATTAATTCACTAGTGGCAGTTTATCTTTTTGGAATAGTTTTTTCTGGAATTTTAACAATAATTGATTTAATTTATTTTTTTAAAGTAATTTAATGTAAAGGAGTTGGTATTTTAAATGGAGGATGAAAGAATTATTAAGCTGAATTATGAAAAGATTATTATTATTATTATTATTATTCTTAATTACTTTTTATTATTTTAGATGAAAATGTTCTAATCAATCTTCTATTTGTTGAAATACTAACTTTTCCATCATCTTCCATTTATAATTTTAATATTGAATATGATTGTTTTAAATCATAATCATTACTTACAGAAACATTTATCATTTATTTATTCCCTTTCCCTCTATGTATTAATAATTATTTTGGACTACTTTAAATACTCAAACTAGATTAACTTCTATATTTTTATAATAAAACAGGATCCATTATAAACTACTTTTTTTTCTTATTAAAATTACTATATATATTATTTTTTTTTTATTTATATATTTATATCATTAATTAACTTATAAATAC